TAATAATCGCATTGCGTAGCCTCGTCTGACGTAATCACGCGTTGCGTAGCCTCGTCTGACGTAATCACGCGTTGCGTAGCCTCGTCCGACGTAATCACGCGTTGCGTAGCCTCGTCCGACGTAATCACGTGTTGCGTAGCCTCGTCCGACGTAATCACGCGTTGCGTAGCCTCGTCCGATGTAATCACGCGTTGCGTAGCCTCGTCCGATGTAATCACGCGTTGCGTAGCCTCGTCTGACGTAATCACACGTTGCGTAGCCTCGTCCGACATAATCACGCGTTGCGTAGCCTCGTCTAACATAATCACGCGTTGTGTAGCCTCGTCTGACGTAATCACGTATTGCGTAGCCTCGTCTGACGAAATCATGCGTTGCGTAGCCTCGTCTGTCATAATCACGCGTTGTGTAGCCTCGTCCGACGTAATCACGCGTTGCATAGCCTCGTCCGACGTAATCACGCGTTGCGTAGCCTTGTCTGACGTAATCACACGTTGCGTAGCCTTGTCTGACGTAATCACGTATTGCGTAGCCTCGTCTGACGTAATCACGCGTTGCGTAGCCTCGTCTGACATAATCACGCGTTGCGTAGCCTCGTCTGACATAATCACGCGTTGTGTAGCCTTGTTTATTCTCATCAAACAGTCGAGAGGGAAACTAGATGGAAACAGTCTAGATTTGAATTTTTATTTATTTAATTTTTTGCRAATTTTGAAAAATTCGATAAAAATTCACTCTACAACTGGATGGAAACACGATTACTAAGTGACTTTGTGGTCTTCAGTACAAAGTCACTTAACATTTCATTTTATTTTAGACTATAACGAAGCTATATTGAAATTTAGACCACTAGCTCCACCCTATTCAGTTTTGTTAGGATATTTGTATTTTTTGTTCATTGTTGTTTCAGTTTTTCTTAACTCATACTGTACTGTATGAATGCAAATAAGGACAAATGTAATCTGTTTGTTTCAGTTGCTTGATTGAAAATGTTGATTATTCCTTTGTGTCTTTGTATACAGAAAAGCCCTTCATTGACATAAAAGAACCGTGGACAAAGGTTTGGGAAGTAAATTTAGTGGGGGATCAAACATCAACACTGATTCCTGTTATATACTCAGCGTATCCAGAGCCCAGTTTTAAATGGTATGATTTTGAAAAGATGTAAAAAATGTGGCATGTTGCACATGATGTTGAAGTGCTGATCTGTTCTTGTTRCTCAGGCTAAAAAATGGTGAGGCGCTGAAGGACGACTACAGAATAAAGCAGAAAAGCGATGCCCTGATCATCCATAGAGTCACTGAAATGGATGCAGGGAACTACACGGTGATCTTGATCAATAAGATGACTAAGGAGGAACAAAGACGCTCTGTMCACCTGTTGGTCAATGGTAAATTCTGTCCTGTGTAGTTTTCATCTATACAATTATTGCCTGTACAAATATAAGAGATAAGCAAGGCATTATTTGGCATTTTTTCCAATAAATTGGCMTGTCACATTTATCTGTTTTATTTTATTTTATTTTTTTGCTCACAGACACTCAGGCATTACATGATTGCCCAACATTCACAGAGGAAGACAATCGATAATCAAGARTTTGCTGTGGCTGCTTACAAACAGTTTATTGATTCACCATTCTGAGTGTAGGAATTTTCAAACAAATTACCGTATTTATTCAAGTACAATACGTAAAATTTAATCCATAAAATCATCCATAAAGTTGGGGGGTAGTATTATACTCGGATAAATATTTTTACTTATGTATTTTAAAGGCAAAGTGTGTAGGATTTTGTCAATTCTTTTAGCCAAAATTGAGATAATCACTAATG